TCTTCGGAGACGCCGTACGAACACAGAGGGTGGGCCCAAGTAACGGCCGTGGTATCTGATTTTTTTAAACCATGGTGGCCCTATGTATCACTTCCATATTTACCCCGAGCAATGTTCCAACTTGTCAGTACATGTGCCGGTGCGTTTGAGGGACCGCAACCTCGTGTGTACACAGATTGGGGAAGACATGCCTGCACGCAGCGACTCGAGAGCGTCCACTACAGCTTCCACCCTTCCGGACGGTAGACAATGGCGCGGGACAAAGTGCTACAGTAGGCACGAACAACATCGGCACAATTAGCACTGTGCGCAGCATGCGCGGTGGTTGCTTCGTACTCGTACACTAAAGACTAAACAATCGGCTGCATGTATTTTCCAAAACACACAGGGCCACCAACCCTCATACCCTTGAATTGTAGCCGCTGTTCTCTCGCGCCCAGAAGAAACCCTACCTATTCATGATGACCCCCCCCCCGCCCCCCGCGCGCTGTTGGCCCGATGAAATCAGTGGCCCCGTACCGGGAGATGACGTGGCTGGCAGGCCAGAGAGACGTTACTGCCAGACAGAGCCCACGGCTAGTCTGACTTGGCAGCGTCGTGGCGCATTAAAGCCACAGAGGACTGGACGGAGAAAATCGTGCCTTTGCTCCAAGTAGTGCCGAGGGCGGTTTTCGTGAACGAATTTTGCGAACAGAGTCCGCACGCGTGGTACCGGGCGCGGGAGTATCTGTTCTCGCCGCAATGCGAGTGGTGCGGAAGCTTGTACAACTTTTGTTGCTGGCAGCCATCGTCATCGGGACTGGGTACCTGTTCGCGTTCGGCCCCCGCGCCTCAGCGCCAGCGCCGCAGCAGGCAGACACAACAACAACAGTCGACGGCTTGAGGAGCCCGGACAACCTCGACACGGTGCCCGGTTCCGAGCACCGACCACCGGGCAAGGACATACCGGCGGCGGCGGCGGCGGCGGCGGCGGGAGCGGAGCGGCCGGCGACTAATGACGATGATGCCACCACCGCCGCCACCAGGGGCCCGGGTATCGTGCGGCTCAACTTCATGGGCCGACTGGGCAACAACCTCTTCGAGTACGCCGCCGCCCGGGCGCTCGCGGACCGCCTGGGCTTCGCCCTGTCGATCCAGCCGGCGCCGTACAACCGCAAGAAGTTCGGCCTCCTCACGAGGCCGGAGGGGATGGCGTGCTTCCCCGGGGTGCGGCCGGTGGGACCTGCGCGGTCGAGCCCGGAGATGGTCGGGTTGGAGACGGTCAAGTTTCGCGGGGTCCGCCGGGAGCTGGGGGACCCCACGCCCAGGTCCATCGAGATGGAAGGGTGGTTCCAGGACTACAGCATGTTTAAGTCGGAGAAGGACCGGCTCCGCAAGGTCAGCGGTGTATATGTTTGGGGGGGGGCGGGGGGGGCGGTTCCAGAATGCTTAGGACGGAGAAAGAACCGCTCCGCAAGGTCAGCGCGGGCTATTTTTGTTTTTTTTGGGATGGTTCCAGAACTACGGCATGTTTTGGTCGGAGAAGGAGCGGTTCCGCAGGGTCGGCAAGCAGCGCCTGCTGGTTTTATTGTTTCTGTTGCGTTGTGTCTCCGAACCGAGATCATTTCGTGTAGGTTTGTGTTGGATGAGGCCTCCTGGGGCGGGCAGGCACCCTCGCCTGGCATGTCACCTGCGCTGAGAAAAAACACGGCGGTTGGTTTTGTGGTTCCGACCTCCCCCCGGTGGTAGTGTGGTGTTCGGAAGGAGCGTTCCCTGTATGTGGTAGCCAGCTGGCGGACAAAGGGTGGCCTATCAGGCGGCACACCCATCAGTTGCAGCCATGACGTCGCTCGAAGCACGTGCACCAGTAGCACGAGCACCAAGACACCGGCTGTGCGGTGAGATGCAGCAGCGCTAGACTACCCTCACAACCATACTCTCCTCTCTGTTGTTGGGCTTCTTGTGCCCCTTCGGGCATTAATTCCCCTGGCTCGGCCAGATAATGGCGCTGGACCCATCGTGCTGCGGCCCGACCGCTCCCGGCCCTGGCGACCTCGTGATCCACCACCGCAACTACAGGGCGGAGCTAACCGCTGAGCAGTACGAAAAGCTCATCTTCAAGGCAAGCAGCGCTACTGGCCTGTCTTATAGATGATCCGTGTTCTCTTGTTGTTTTTCTGGTCGGGCGTGATGGACCGTTGCGTCGATGGGTGTGTTCTCTCATTGGACTGAATCCTCCCCGTTCAAACCCCTCCCCTATTGCACCCGGGGGTTTCTCGAGCCGAGAATTCTTTTGAGCACCTAAACGCAGGCATCCATAACGTTTTCGTATGTATTGTGCGCGCCCTCTTTTCCTCGGTTGGTTCACGTTGTAGTGCTTAGTCTCTTTTTTAAGAAAGCAGCCTTCACGGGGTTTTCGCTTAAGTAAACACGTTGGATAAATCATGCAATGGGGGAAATTGGGTTTGGGTTAGGGATAGGGATAGGGTCTGCGCACACACACCCCTGCTCTATTTCCTCGGAAAATTATTTTCTAGCGTAGGCGTTCCTATGAACAACCGTAACCCCCCCTATACCCGTACCCCCTTACTGCACATGATACCCGGGCAATCCTCGAATCGACAGAATTGCTTGGAGCAAGTAGTGCATTTCCGCCATTTTCCTTTCCTCCGGTCGTTCCGTTCCTGAGACGCCCCACATCGTGATCCGTGACAACCGGCCTTTTTTGGCAGAGGAGGCGTGTGCGTGGCAAGGGGCGGCATGTTGGCCACGCAATGGCATGCAGTTGCCGGTTGGTCCCTCGGACGGTGCGAATGGTATTTTGGGGTTCCACGTTCTGGCCGCACGCCCCTCCTCCCCCCTCTAACAACGTCATTTCTGTTTTCCCGGGCCCCGTTTGTTGAAGGACTTGGACTACGAGTTCTACGAGGCGGTGCTGCGGGATGCCGCAGAGTCTGCGGCCGGCCCGCCCGAAACAGTGTGGGTGGTGGGAGAGTTCAACGACGAGGAGCCTCTGTTCAAGCGTCTGCAACAGGACCACCCCAACGTGAAAAGAGCTGTGAGTTTTAGTTATTTTTGTTCGATTTTTTAGGAAACGCGGCCGTATCGCAGCTGGGTCATTGTGGCGTTGTTCGAAATATGTCGGCATGCATGCAAAACATGGCAAGAACGGCCAGAGAAAGGTTAATATTACGGTGTGTGATGCATTGAGCTTGACGCGAAAGGATTAATGTAGCCAGATTTTTTGTCTTAGGGTTACCTGTTCAGCGTGCCCCTAGGATTCCCAGCCTGACGTGTGCGGCGGAAAGCCCCGGGGCCGACGGGGCTCGAAGCAACCGACCCGCCCGCCCATAAACTGCCGGTCCCCGTTTATATACGCAGCAACAACAAAGGCTTATAAATTTGGTAGTTGTCAGGGATTTAGGCCGTTGGCAGATGTGTCAAGGCCGAAGTCCCACACTAAACTAGTATACTTGCCGTCGAAAACGCTCTCTTGACAAGCCTGTACAAGCCTGTCAACCCCTTCAACTGCCATCTTGATTAAAAAGGCAGCTTGAATAATCTTCCCGCCGCTGCACGATTGCCGCAATCTTTGCCGCTCGGCGGCGAACGGCCGAACTAACGACAACACGAACGACGCGACGTGCAGGAAATGGTGGAAGACCAGTTCCACGCGTTCTGCTTCCTGTCTCGAGCCCCCCGGCTGGTCATGGCCCACAGCACGTTCAGCTGGTGGGTAGCTTTCCTCGGCGTCGGGACGGAGGTGCACTTCCCCCTGACCAGGCAGAACCAGGGGGTCACCGGGCCGAGCATAGCGGTGGACGAGGGCCGGTACGTCTACCGCGATGAGGCGGGACGAGTGGTCCCCCCTCCGTAGGCCTGATTTAGCTCCCAACCGTTCGTCCGTGAAACTGGTGTTTCGTCGCACGCCCTGTGAACCGATGTTCATAGCCAGATGTCCTCCACAGAATTGACAGCGCCAACAACAGGCGGCGTGGAAGCCGGTCTCGTCGAGAGGTTTCCGACTACGTATCAGATAAGTGATGCACGCATCGGATATTTTTTTGCGTCCTCTTCGTCGTTGAGCATTCGGGTTTCGAAAATGGGTCAAAAGGGGGCGTGGTACCTTGTGTCATGTCAACTACGGTATTCGTTTCGGTTCCTGGTGTTGGTTGGGTGTGTTTGGATGTCTGGTGTGTGCGGCTCACTGCTAGAGAACCTTAGTTGTTGATACTACCACGGTTTCGTTCGTCGGTCCCCCTCCAAGGCCGGTCCTCGTATTTAGGAGGTAAATCCTGCAAGAATGGCAGCACGAGGTGCCTCATTGTGTGCATGGCTGGGAGAAGGGGGGCTAGTTGGGGGCTGGGCACAGTGTCGACCAAGGCAATGTGGCGTACGTGTGAGGGCAGCTTGCCGAATTGAGTCAATGAGTCAGATCTGGTGTATTGTGTGTCCGGAGGAAAAAGGAACAGGGGGGGTCTCGAGCCATGTACTGAGCCCCTACATACGGAAATTTTGCTGCTCGGATGGAGGCTAACGCTGCTCGGATGGAGGCTAACGCAATCGTCACTGGGACAGGGACACCTCCTACGGTACCAGACGTGGCACGCGACCACACTGCTGTAGATATACATTCTATGTGAGAGCTCGTACTGAGAGCAAGAGTGTGCCTTGTCGTTCGGGACCGGGAATTTGGACGGGGACTAAAAGTCTACGTGCCGCGGTCACGTTTTGTGCGCCCGAGCCATCATCTGAGAACACGTATCCTTTGTTCGCAGTACTCGTTTGGTCTCAGGTCAGGCGGGGCGTATCTACACGCCACCGGCACTCACTCCGCCACTCCGGGGTTGAAAAACCGCAGTTTCTTTTACAAAATGAACGCTCATGACGCATGATTTCCGAATGTATATGGTCAAGAATACTGTGAGCGATGTCCTATCGACAACCTGAACCAGAAATAGCAGCACCAGCTCGGATAGCCAGGGGATCTTCCCTGCTGCCAGTTCCACCTACGCGTCTACGCAGCACTACCACCCTTCCAACGTCAACCTACACCCGTACAGATGAAAGGAACCTGCAGAGACAACTCCAATATTGGTACACTCCCCTTGCTACACTCCAGACAACGCGGAGCCAGATACAACCAAATTCCGAGATAGCCCTGCCGGCGGTCTCTAGTCTAGTTGACACCCTGACCGACATGAATATAAGAATAGAGAGCGGCGAATGGGAAGCACGCCTTAGTCGATCGCGGCCGTGCCTCCGGCGTTCCTACACCCTCTTGCCCCCCTACTCTACCATGTACACGCCCACCCAAACGTCTGTCATGTTGTGACCATCTTGAGTTGGCCATACTCCCTCTGACGCCCTGCTTCCTATGCTACTTCTTGTTTACTATCGTCGAGATCTCGGTCCTTCCTTCTCATCCCGAGCCCGCGGAATTCCAAAAGTACTGAAACATCCGCACATCAGACCCTCAAATATTGAAGCAAAGGGCGCCGTTCAAAGTGGACACACCATTCATTCCCGCCTCCACGGCTGCTTTCTATTTTCTTTCGAGACGAAAGCCCGATATATGTTGTACATATATCTTGAACACGTGTCCCTCGACGTTTATTGGTGCCGTGCACTCATGTCCCTCGTTGATGTTGGAGAAGGTAGACGTACATCGACTGAGATTTGTCACTTTCATCGAGGAAGAGGACTGAAAAACGCTCGCTCGTTGTGGACGCCACGTTTAGTGTCATGCCCGGAGCTCGGCGACGTTTCTGCGGACAAGAGATGTTCCAAGGCAGCATCGAGGAACAGTAAACAAAATACCCACGTCGCATGCGAGATAATGCAGAGGCAATCACATCACCGTTGTCAAAAAGCCCACCGCAGAAGTGCTGCCATACCCACTGCGGAAGGGCCTTACATATGAGTTGCGTGCCGGACGTTCACCGACTCATCGCCACTGGTTTGCTCGGGATGGTTGCTACCTTTGTGGAGAGATTCACGGCACAAACCTTACCCGTAGCTTGCCCCTAGTGCAATGCCGACCGAATGTCACCAGGGGAAGAACTTGACAACTATTGCCATGTATGGTCAACCAGGTTGTTGCACACAGACAAACTTGCCCTGCTAGATCTGCTAGATCTTTTGGAGATGTGGATTCCTCAACCATTCCTTGCTGCTTACCTAAAGTCTCTCACCAACCGGCCATCGTACATTCTACCCAAACGAGCACCCATACACGATCGCGGACACGGCGTGCGTAGTCATGCATTCCTTTCGTGAGTCTCGTGGACTACTCACCACGTACCCTGATTAAGATAGAACTTTCTACGTATGCCTCTGGGCGTTCGATATTCTCTGCCATCTACGTACAATGTTCATACAAAATACCCTTGCCAGTTTGGTGTATTTCCGAGTGAAACGTGGTGGCGGCTGCTTACCTTGATCAAACAACCGTTTAGAGGGATTGGTACACCGACATGGTGTAGGGGCCACCGCACACTTCGTCCGAGTTGCCCGTACAGGACATGTCGCAGACGCCGAAACCGTTGGCAGCGAAGTCGGCGTTGTCGCCGCACCAGCACTGTTTCATGCAGCAGCATCCACATCCAAGGGGGGGCGTGAACTTGCGGAGGAAACGGGTCTCAAGATGATGGCATGCTTGAGATTCGATGTTTCATCAGACCAGGTGAATTTGGCGAGCTAGGCAGAGGTGCCGGTATCAGGGAAAAATCTAGGGCAAAGGATGGGGGCATGAACACCGCAGGTCGCGGCTACATTTTGCAGATCGATGCACGAACGTGACTCGTTCCGCTGACCGATTCCGGAGACCGCAATGATCCAAGTCAAGGCTCTCTTCGTAGTCGTGCTTCGTTGGTTCGTTCACTCATCCTTCTTAAAGCAGACACACATAAACCATAAATACCAATTCCAAGTCTGTTGCACACATATCGCAGGTGTCATGAGGAACAAGCAACGGTAGGAAACAAAGACAGGGGCGGTTCCAGAGAGCTAGGTACTTCTCGGTGGCCCAGAGAAGCCAAGGTACGATACGGGGATAAACTACATGTATCCTCAGCAAAGGAGCAGATACGTATGTTTCGGCACGCGTATCGTGCATTTAGTATTCATCGGGGATGGACAATTAACAATGGTATCTGGAATCATTGCGAGAAACGTCGAACCGATTCACGCTGACGGTAATAGTAATCCCAAAGCGCCCGCAACGGGTTGCGATGGTCGCTCTTCTCGTACAACACTGGCCCACAGAGCACGACTGACACCCTTGCGACACGAACACAAGAAGTCATACCTCTTGAGAATACTGGGTTCCGTAGTAGGTCGAGCCGCTGCAGCGCGAGGCGCAGGCCTGATCGTTGGGTGATGTACGTGTGCGCACGAGCAACGGTCGATGGTCAAGGAGGCGGGGGGGGAAGTGCTATAGTGAGGACCCAATCGAAAGGGAGATGCATGGATGGGTGGAGCGTGTTCGTAACGAGTTAGGTTACGAAATGGCGAAAATTGTTGATGCTTCCTGTGCAAGAACCAAGAACCACCGACAAAAACGAAACAGCAACACACATGTTGCGAAAGCGCGATGCTCGTGTTGAAAGGAATGGTTTTAGAGTCAGGCAACCCAACGCCTTTGATCGGTTAACTGCTCACCTCTGCGGTCATAGCGTTGTTGGAACTCTGCCACACGAACATGCGGTCGTCGGCGGGGTCCGAGAAGCACCCGAGGTACGCCGGGTCCACGGCGTACACATCCATGCTGTAGGCCCCCCCACAGGTTTCGTCGGAGTTGCCCGCGCAGGTCATGTCGCACTCGCCGACGCCATTGACTGAGTATTGGGCGTTGATGCCACCGCACCAGCACTGTTGTCGGAGGGATGGACCAGTGGGGGGTGAACGGTTGTATACACATTGAAATCGACCAAACTGAGGGAGGTACACAGTATATAGATGGGTGCAAAGCTGACGGTGGTGTCAGGACATATCATGCCACACGAGAACTGGAGGCAGAATCATGCCACACGAGAACTGGAGGCAGAAACGAACAGCAAAGCACCACCATCGGCTCGAGGAGAACCATTCTCCAATCCAAGTACCGCGATCTCCCCTTTAGGAGAACGGTCATGGGCATACCTAGTCTACAACCGTTGTGCGGATAAACGTCCAGGCGAATCTCACGTAAGGAGGCAATGCCTGTACAGAAACAACATACCCTGACGGCGGCAAGTGTTGTTTCTACTGATCGTCTGGCGTAGGGCACCACCCTGACACGTAGCCACTTTGTAGCGAACCCCTCGCGTTGGAACTCACGACGCTGGGCAAATCTTATCAACTAAGACACAGCAAGCAAGAAGGGCGACTGGGGAAGGGTCGCCCTATCTCTGTGGTGTACTAGTACGATCGGCGCTGGCTTTGATGGTGCCGTCTCTCGATGGCTTGTCACGTGTTTTCAAAACGACTGCGCAGCCTTTCCTGCTAGCAGGCAAGCTTCGAAAACGGCATTATTTGCGATCCGTTGGAATATACAGAGAGTCTAGTGGTGCCGTGCGGCGTGTTGGCGGTTTTGCGGCAGCGCAACTCGCATCTTTGTCGGCGGGAACGCCGAGGTGGCGCCCGCGTTCAACCTTTAGTTCGGAAAAAGAGCAGCAAACAAGGTCCTCACCTCCCTCGAGTACTGCGTTCCGTAGAAGGCCGAGTCGGCGCATTGCGTCGCGCAGACCTGTGGTCGTTTGGGTAACGGTGAGTGTCCAAAGATGGATAATCAGGACGAGGGGAAAGAAGCGGTGAGGAGGGGCGAATGAGCTGAGAGCGACAACGTAGATGTGCCGGGTGCAGTGATGGAGAGTTGGCTTCCGGAACGCTTACTAGACCCTCAGACATTTCACCCGTAATGACAATGCGACATCGGCATCGGAGAGCATGGTCGTTCAGCGCGCCGACCATGCGGAGAGGCTCCAACCCAACTTCTCAAAACTCTCTTCTCAGGTAGCTAACAGGGTCCGGAATTGGCTCAGGAGGGCACCGTGCCATCAAGGAAGGGATGATGAAACATGAAAGGCAGCAGGACCAGCCCAGCTTGCTGCCACCTGCCAGTGTAACGTTTCCCAAGCTCACACGGCTCACGCAGCTGACGTCTTTTGATTCCACGTGCCCAGGAAACCTCATCCGACGAAAACAAAAATCATACAAACCTTCAGTCAATACAGTCTACATAGACACGCCTCTGTTGCCCTCTCACTCACCTCTTCGGTCATCTCGTCAGAGGAAGTGTCCTGCACGAAAACACGGTTGGTGCCTGGGTCGGAGTAGCAGCCACGGTACGCGGGGTCCACCACTTCGTTCTGGTAGACACTCATACTGTAAGAGCCTCCACACGTCTCACTGGCGTCGCCCGCGCAGGGCATCACGCACTCGGTGCTGGCACCGTTCGCATCATAGTCGGCGTTCTCGTCACCGCACCAGCACTGCATTCGAGAGTATCCAGAACGGGGGGGTAGGGGAGCGCAGTGAACGAGAGGGCCAGGGTTTCATCGTGACGTCGTGACGTACACGACGCGTAGTTGGCAACGCTATAGCTTGGACTACGTGCGTCGGTGGGCGTGACGTGAGGCCAAGGCTGTCAACGTGTATTAACAAAGCCTGAGGCAGGAAGATCTCGCCTGCAAACTACAGCAGGCCTCACTGAGTTCAGGCGAGATCACATGAAGCATCAGCAAACGTCCAGTAACGACCTACACTTTTGACCGAACAAGCAACATTGTTCGTTTCTCCAGGAACCGCCGATCCAGCACGTTCCCCGATGGTGTATGGAACCACGGTGGTGCATAGAGACATCACGACAAGGCAGCGGCCGAGAATGAATGTGGAACGTCCACTCCAACACGCACGATGTTTTTCCAACACCTGTTTGAGTAATATTTCGACGCACGATCCACACCACTTCTTTGGGCGTGTATGCTAGGAGTCTCACCTCCGTCGAATACTGAGTTCCGTAGTACGGGTACGCGCTGCAGTGCTCCAAGCAGACCTATGGTCGTTCGGGCGCAGGTAGGGGGGAGTAATTGGTCAGTCGAAGGAAGCGAGACGAGTGAACAAAGGGCGACGTGGATTTGTGCGAGAGGTGGCGGTGGTGTATTGGTCCAATGATTATGTCAATAGCTGGTTTCAACGGCTGTGCAAGGTCAAACCACGAATCAGCAACAATACCACGAAGAGTACAAGTCTTCAGTCACCGACAAAAACACATTAAAAGCGCAACCCAAGCAAGCAGACGTAGCCAACCGGGCTTCGCTTCATTGCTCACCGCCTTGGTCATGTCGTCAGAGGAAGTCGCCAGCTCGAAAATGCGGTTGTCGGTCGGGTCGGAGAAACATCCAAGTAAGTCGGTGTCATTGCGTACTTCATGTTGGCGGATGGACATGGCGTCAAACCCGCCGCAGAACTCGCCGTCGGTGGATCCGGCACACTCATAGTCGCAGACGGCAAGACCATTTTGCGCATAGTCGGCCGTGCCCTCATCGCACCAACACTGTTTCGAGGATACAAACAGGAGCACAGCCAAGGCCGAGAGCATTCATTTTTAGCGAAGAGATGAATCGTTTTCTGAGCGTGATAAATGGAGGGCGAAGTTTGATAGACTGCACGGGTGGCCAATGGGAGGTTGTCACTGGTGCCCAACCTCCCTGGGGTCGGGTTGGGACGTTGGGGATCGACGGACAATACATTGTTTACGCTGTCAGACCGCCCTGTTGATTGGACCAACGACGCAACCCGTGATGCGGGGCTAGCATATATATGTCGGCGTACAACCTGACCCTAGGGAGGTTGTGGGTAGGTTGTGGGGAGGTTGTGCACCAGATACAACCTGCCTTGGCCACCCGTGTGAGCCAACGTCCGGAACCGCGGCAGGGTAAGAGGAAAGCTTCTTGACGCCACGCGCACCAGGATCGTATCCCTGTCTGTACTACCGCACTGTGTATGCACGTAGTCTGCTACAGTGAAAACAATCCCGCCATGTGTCTGTTTCGGTCTGGCACGCTCTTCCTTCTCTCACTGAAGCCAGTGCAAACTTGGAACCCGATCATGAAGCAATCACTTATCAGTCGGCAAGCATGTCAATCTCCTCGCGGTGTAGGGACTACAGAGGAGGTTGACTTCTAAACAAGCGTAGTGAACGAGACAGAGTCTCATTCTTTCCTCGGAACGGGCAGGTTTAATGACGCCTCCGAGGGCTCCTGACTTGAATAACGAAGTCGCAGCCTGTGACGACCCACGTGCGTCTCGCTCACACGATTCTCGCCAGAGGAAGCGATAGGCTCATCTCACCTCGGTTCCATACTGCGTCCCGTAGTACGCGTAATTGGCGCAGAGACCTTCGCAGACCTGCAGCGTGGAATACACCCGGACGTCGAATGACGCATCGTTTCGGAACTGGTGAGTATTTGTTCATGAGCTGTGGCGCACAGGTCAAATCGAAAATGTAGGTTGTCCACTCATGCAATTCATGTCGTGTTGGGACGCTGACGTGATAGAACACCCCGTACGTAGCTGTTAGCGTTGAAGAGCGACGGGTTGACAAACCTCGTTTTTAGGATAAACGAACCTACAGCTCTATACAGTAATAGCGGTTCGAAAAAGAGCTACTCGATTCGGCTTCCCCTAAAGAAGGAACTCGTCGATCATTCTTCGATCCCCGTCCGCGACCGCAGCACGCGACGCCAACGGAGTTTCCTGGCCTCATTATTGGTCATTCTGTCGGATGGGTTGACGAGGTCAATAATCACTTACCCTCTTGGAGTCCCTGATGTAGTCTATGGTCCTTCACGTCCCCAAGTATGGATTGACACCACTATTCGGCACATCACGGTAGCCTCGGAGTGTGAGGAACATGCACACCATTCACAACCACGAACCCCGAATCCAGCTACTGGGCGTGTTGTACGACGAGCAGTCTCTATCCTACTGCATACATAAGGTGGTTGCTCACCGCAGTAGTCATGTCGTCCGATGTGTCGATCAGGATGGGAAACAGCCGTGTTTCCGCCGAGTAGGGATCGCTCCAGCAACCAAGGTAGTCGGGGTCGTTGGAGTAGACGGAGAGAGCGTACGCCCCGCCACAGATCTCGTCAGAGTTGCCGGAGCAGGGCATGGCGCAGTCGCCAGGGCCGTTGATGGCGTATCCAACGTTGTCACCGCACCAGCACTGTTGTTTTGAAATGAACGACGTGCAAGCGGAATGAAAAACGTGGTGGCGTCAACGGGGTGCACGGGCGTCGTGGTTGCGAGAGCGGCGTGCGATGTTGTTCCCTGCGGAGAGTGGGGTGAGGAAAGCAATCGTGGTGGTGGTAGTGGTGTCGAACCACGGTCGTCCGAGGAGAAAATAAAATCAAATTCGGAGAATCACACAGCATCTCGATTCGCGAAGGATGCTGTCATCATGTGCGTTGCCCCCGATCGCGAGTCGACCGTTCCGAATAGATCACGAGGTGATTCTGAGCGATCACTGATTCCGATAGAAGCTGAAACCAGAACCACTATCCTCGCTTGTGTAGCCTAGCACTACAGGGGTCAAGAAACGAACAGTCAGTCGAAATCTTGTACACCGGGGACCTTGCCAAACCTTTTGGCTTCGGAGGTTGTCCTTGCTCAGTGGCACAAAGAAGGCATGATGCCCCAAGGTTCGACTATACATCTGGTCCCGCGACCTCCATCCCCGAATCACTGAACCATATTCCAGTCTTTTCTGCGATCATGATGCCGTTCGTCACCTTCTCTGTTGATCGGCATAAGGGCATGATCCCATTGTTTTCAATTGAAGATTCTTACCTCTGTCGAATACTGGGTCCCATAGAAGTCAGACCCAGAGCAGAGCTCCGAACACTCCTGTGGTCGAAGGGTTGCATGAAAGCCGTCGATTGTCAGTATTAGGGGGCGCGTGGAGCAATGGTGGGCACGTCCGCATGAAACGCCATGGCCACACTGGGTGTGTCATTTGGCTTCAGGGGTCACGAAGCGGCTTTGAAAGCGTGGATGACTCCTGTGCGATTTCCTGACCACATGAGCAACACCAACTGCCGTGAGCAGGTCGAAAAGAGTGCACTTCAACTCGCACGCAGACCCCATCGTGCCAACAACGCAATGAAACTCGCACGCAGACCCCTTCGTGCTGACAATGCAACGCAACCAACCAACACAAATATCTTAGCGTGCGTCCGCCCATCATCGATCGATCGCTCACATCTGCGGTCATTGCGGAGGTAGAAGACTGCCATTCGAAGACGCGGTCCTCAGCAGGGTCGGAGAAGCACCCGAGGTAAGATGGATCATCGGACTGACCTGCTCCGGCAACAGTCAGACGACGCGATAATCTCACAAACCGAGAAGCTTGCTCCAAATGTGGAAAGACACAGGAGGCACGCACTTTTTTACACTCACGCCTGGGAGCTGGACGGCATTGCCTACAATACGTACTTCACTTCGTTTCTGTATGGAAGGTGATTCCCCCTTGATGCTCCAGACTATGCCCTGGTCGCTAACTAATAGTATTCGGAGCATAGGCTCCGGTCCTCGGGGAATATATTCGTTCCTTGACTTGTTTAGGTGTAAGGGGGCTTGAGGGACCACAAGCGGTCAAATCGTGTTGCTGTGACATTTGACCCATCTGAGGTAGGACTCATCCTAAACTCATTGTCTACATGCGCGTAGAACACGATGCCTCAGCAGCTCGGGGGCATTGAAGCCCCTCGTGGGAGCGCCGAGAAACTGTTTCTGCTTCGGCTGCTGTGGTACAATGACCGAAACGTCCCCGATTCATTCACCGAGTGATTGTAGTAGTAGGCAGAGTTTCAGAGGACGATCCACTTCCCGATCAATAAGAGTCATACTTCGTACATCATTGCCTCTTACCAATGGCGACCCCGAGGAGGAGCGTCGGTAGCGCCAGCGAAAGCAGATGCATCTTGACCTCGAAATTGCTGGGAAGCTGACACCTGAACAGCAAAAGACCATTGTTCGTCAGGCGTACGTGCGAAATGGTCTATTTGCGGCTCTTTGCCCTTTCACTCTTTATCCATCTACTACGTCCTCTGTACAAGGGCGAAGTTTGGGAGGAGAATCGATTGTCGAAAAACGTGATCAAGGGTTCGCGATACCACAAGCATGACTGGTGTGTGGGGCATTCAATACTTTCACCGCGTACAACCTCCCCGCTAGGTAGACTCCTAGGCAGGGAAACGACAGGCAGGGGGGCTGCAAGTATTAGGTTCACGGTAGATCGGGCACATATACGGTGTAAAATTTTCCTATTTCTCCGACGGGCTTGGAGAGTGTGGGCACTATCTCACTTCGGGATTGAGAGAAATGTGGAGACATGTAGTAGGTTGTGTTCTTTCCTGTTGTATTTTGCTCTTGGCCTAGGACCATTTGTTTGATTTTGAGATGAGGCCTCCAGCTCCGGCCGGTGGTCCCACCCATACTTTCCTAGCCGTGTGCTGTCCTTGGCCACTGGCCTGGAGCGTGGTTGATTCACCCAAACTTTCGTGTATTCCGCTGTACGTGGATAATTACGACGGCTTACGGTGTTCTTTCCTCTGTGGGCGATCAGATCATGGCTGCCACTGCCTGCAGTTCCAAGAGCGCACGGCTACGTCTGGATTGAGGAGAAAACCCAACCACCCAAACATCACAAACATCCCGGTGTAAACAACTGAAACAAATTCTTTGTGCACTATGTGTACGGTGCTCTGCAGATCGGGAACACATACAGCGTGCGGCAGGATACCCGAAGGAAATCATCCACAGAATGCACTGCTACGAAATACAGTAGACACAACACCCACACTCACAGTGAGTTCTTGGGGGCCTCAGGTGTTCTTGGGCTGCTCGGGATTGTAGATAGGGCGGGAAGAAGCAAAGTGTGAGCTGATGGGCAAGAGGGCAGAGGACGTCCTCTCGGATAATCCACATGTGATGTCACACATGATCATTTTCTCGAATTTGTATTGTGGGCGTCAATGGAGCCTGAAAGTGTGAGCGTGTGTTCGAAAAAGCCGGTGGGTTGTGTAATTGCTCACACGAAATGTCGTACATTCTTATGTCATTTGCATTCACGTTCGGTTCATTTTCTTGTGGAAAACAAGGATCTACACGTCAACGCAAGGGCTTTCGTGTCACCTGTCTGTGGGCGGCAGGTTGCACTCTCTTTGACGGTCGATGAGTGGGCGAACCTGACAGTCCCGAGAAGGTCACACCGAGATCGGTTTTGTGAATTTCCACACGAGTGCTTGCAGTACAGCAGTAGGCCCCATGCGTGCACGAATGGGTCCGACATAGCTGGCCATTGGGACGAATGGGGACAGTTTGGTCTTTAGGTCCCTTCCTGGTGTGGTATGCAGAGATGCGACCTTGGTTGGTATCAGAAGACATCGACAAGTTGTGAGGGCTCTGTCACACCATCAGAATTTCGGGCTGAGAATTTCGGGGGATTTTTCTGGCTCTCAGGAATCTCATATCCTCCTACATGCCTGTTTTACGCATTTGATGGGTTGTTTCTCAGGATTCATCTAGCCGGTGGTGGCGTACTGGGTCACAGGGCGTTACTGTGGTCCTGGAAGGGGTCTTTACTGTCATCCGCGTGGTACAAAACTCTTAAGAGCTAGACTTGTAGGTACCCGGTTGTTCATGTCATCATCCGTCTTGCCCTGATGAGGGGCAAACACTTGCGAAGACCGTACGTGCATGAACCAAAGCACACGGTCTACGACCTACACCGGTGGTGATAGATTGTACAGCAGTTGTTATTGTAGCGTGACCCGTCTTGCATAGACACGTTTGGGGTTTTTGGTTTTGGCGCAGTTGCGATGTTGATTCCACCAAGAGAAGGAGCCTCGAGGACCGGGGTCCAAATATGCCAGAAAATCATGGACGCTTTACCGTTCTCTCGCACTGCTGTCTAGCACATCCAACGCTACCACAACCGAAAATTTGTAGTTCCACTCTCACTGTTGCCACACACGTGCGATTCCCGCACCCAATCCCTGCTGGCGCCTGACGCAAGGACACTCTCGTACAATTTTCGACCGGAATTTTCTCGCGATCTGGGGCGCGAATAAAAAAGGCTCCCCCCGTAAGTTAAACTGATTCCCTGCATTTGTAAAATCTTCAAACACGCCAATCTCCTTTCCCAATCCTCTCGCCAATTTCAATGCCATGTACCTTCACTCCACCCCCCCATCGAACTCATGCCACCGTCCCCCAACCAGCCTCGACGCACGTACACGCGGCGCCCCTTATCCTAGGAGTGACTTGCAAACGTGAGTTCAAGCACGCAGACTTTGGGCCATGAAGACGGACGGTGCTCCAACGGTCTTCCATCCCGGGCGGTCTTCGGCGGGGTGGACTCATACACCCCGACTTCGGCTGCGTTCGTGTTTACGCAATGTCATGCTCCCAAGTAAATGCGTTTGTTCACGCAACGTCCATGCTTCCAAGAAAAAATGATGTGACCATCCAGACCATCTTTCGCACCGTCTCATACTAGGTGAACCCCCCCCCCCCCCCCCCTAACCAAGCCAAGACACGACGGACTTCACATCGGACCCCCGCATCCCTCACTCGACTGCTTTGCAACAGTGGAGGAAAAGCGTTCCAAGCCAGAGAGACAAAGACGTTGGCAAAGGCCGAGACTTGAATCGCCTACTGTACCGTTTCCCGTAAAAGTACCAAAAATACCCGCGCTCGTAAGCTAACTGGTTACCTTGTGCTCGCCACGCGTGGGTCTATAACACACCGCAGCGCACACAGAGTAACAACTCGAACATGCCAAATATGTAAGTTAAATAGCACATGAACACGAACGCTGTCAGTAGACCTTCGAGGCGAATAAAAGCTAGAGGAAGATCTCGAATAGAACGTGACATGTATAAACACGCGGTACCGCCGAGGGTCCATGTCCCTTACGGGGGGCGGGGGGGGGGCAAGTCGAGCCGCGAGCAATGTTTCAACTGGGGCGTGCACAAAATGCACGATTGACGCACCCTTGTTGCGGCGTGACAATCTTCTGTCAAAGCGATTTTGCGGAGGGCAACAACACAGCAAGGCAAAGAAACGATCATGAGTATTTCTTTCGCTTCGGGGACTAGTCCCTCGCCCGCCTGCCTTCGCAGTAAAAAAACCAATGCTGCATATCCTGTCGACTAAAATACGGGGAGAGATAGGGCAGAGCAGACAGGGCCTCCCGTTCGACCAAGCCAGCATGCCATGTCATGTCGGACTGCTTGCGAACGCGGGCGCCAGTACGCCCAACCTGGCTGCAACCGTGCCATGCGGAACGGTGGTACAACTAGACCAAGATCTGGGATTTCCATCAAACGATAAAACCTTTACAAAACCTTCGGCAAATCCTGGTCTCTCACACAAAAAAATAGGGGAGTGCCAAGACGGTGACTTCGAGGAAGCCCGAATCACTGCTGCACGCCTTGACCTGGCGGCGGGCTCGAGCCAATAGTCAACCCTCTGCACCATCTCGCGTCACCCCCCTAGTCCCTTCCTTCCACCGCAAACAACATTGTCGTTCGACACCTTCCGTGAAAGGCGCACCGTGGGTCTTCGCATGTCCCCCCCCGCAAACCCTCAACTCATCTCGCTGCAGACCACGAGGTGCTTCAGGTACGACGCGTAGGCCGACCACAGGGTCGGGTGAGCGCTGCCGATTTTTTATGGCCGAGACGAGAACGCCGGGGCGTACGCCGTGTATACCACGAAGAAGTCGTTGTAGGGCGGAGATACGGTAGACCAGGCGCATCGGGTGTAAGATGGAGGATGTGCCGGCGAGGAGGGGGTGAGAGTGGAAGCTAAGGGTCCAAGGGATGGGTCGGCAAAGATTGGGCTTGGCGGTGGAACAACCGAGCGAACGTTTGAGGGCGATCTAGTGTACGTTTAGTCACTCGCTTCTTTCGGAAATACCCGTGGGAAACCGTCAGCAAGCACACCACGGCTCGACCACAACCAGCCAGAAGGGCTGGAAGTTTGGCAAGCGGTCACCTGTACTTGGAAGGTGGCTTGCGGCCTCAACATGCGACACCAGACAGCTGGTCACGAAAATTAATACACCACATAATCCCCCCCACTCTCACTTGTACGGGATGTTGAATTCCTCGCAGGCATCCTTGACGATCGGGGCTATCTCTGCGTACAGCATGTGAGACATGGAGGGGAACAGGTGGTGCTCGATCTGGTAGTTTATCCCGCCCATCGCCTGCGTCACGAAGGGGTTACCGTTGCTGAAATTCCCGCTGTGTCGCACCTGGCGCGTGGAGGGGGTGCCGTGCACGTAGGGTGAGGTCGTTGTCAGTTGATATGATAGGACCCCTGTCAGTTGACACTTGACTCAGCCTTGAAGGCACTTGACCGCGGAAGCAGCCGTAACGTATACCAAACGCACGAGGGTATGTGCCACAAAAAATCGTTGGAGGACGGGCGTATGAGTGTGAACGGCTGGGTGGATGCTTTTTTTTTGGGGGATGTTCAGACATGGACCTCACGCTCCTGGTTTGAAGAGATTCGCGTACGCGTACGCCTTTATCCCTGAACGCCAAACAGGGAGTGGCGCGCCTACTATCTCGACCATTCTTTGGTTACTGCTTCGATGCTCATGAACAGCAGAACACACACCTTTGGGAGAGGTCGATTTTGTACTCGTTAACCATAGCGCAACCTTATATCGATTAGCCGGATAGCACGGCCGGCGCCAACAAACGAAAACAAAGTACACACCTGCACCTCTCCCCAGTCATCGCCGTACCCTTCCTCCTCCTCAGTATCCCCCTCTGCGGAGGACGATCCCCCCCCTCTCGCTCCGCCTGCGGAGCCCACTCCTCTCGCCTCCCGTCCCGCCCCACACACGACACCCCCAACTCCGCCGGCACTGTTGCAACTCTCGCACACGCCGGCTACGGGTGCCGCCTCAGTTGCTGGTGGTTCTGGCACCGCCACCGCCACCGTCGCGGCCTCAAAGGTCGGACCCCCAATCGTCTCTTCTCTTGGCCCCTTTTTCCCGATACGGCGTCGCCCCCCGAAGCCGCCGCCTTCTCCCGTGGCCGTCACGGTTTTTTCTTGATTCTGGACGCACTCGCTACTGTAACTGCTGCTGCTGCTGCTGCTGGCATTGGCGCTACTTGTTGTCGTCGTTGTTGCTGTTGCTGCTTCTCTCTGTCGCTCCCCTTCCCTCTTGGCCTCAATGCTGTTGACGATAGACGACTCGAGTGTGTCGTGGTCCGGTGCGACGCACAGGTGGTAGGCCACACTAATGCCCATGAAATAACTGACAAGAAGGGAGGGGGGGGGGGGGGGGGGGGGGGGGCGTAACTGTTGTTTTGCTGCTTGCACGTAGTCGTCGGAGTGCCCCTTGACCAGGCATCTGTCTGTCCCAGCACGTTTCTTATGCTCTTTGTGGAGGAACTCCAGGATTTCGGTGCTCTATGCACACATGTGTACGCCGTAGCCAGGTTTTTCAGAGCATCCTCTCTAATCATTCCCCTCCTGATGACCCTGTGTTGTGGTCGAAGGAGGCGGGGGGGTCGATATCTCAGTTCACAAACGAACGATAATGCTACCGTGCAATGTGTACTAATACAGTGCTGATGTGCACGCTTTTTTGGAAACGCCGTCGTTGCCGCTACAGTTTCAATTAGAGCGGGCACTCACGAGCATAACGTAGGCCTAGCGACCACACGCGCGCGCTTAGCTTCAGCCTACTGACACCGACGCAATGCCACTGGTCAGCCGGTGAGCGCGGTCAATGCTAATCAAACAAGCACACACGACACACAATTTCTACTGACTGACGTATTTTCATTGATCAGCTGGTTGGCGCGACCTATGCCTGTCAAAAGAGAAGCATGCACTCAACACACGCCGTGCCCAACGCGAGCTAATGTATCTACCTCTTGTTCATAGTGCAACGACTGACCTGTGTGTGTGTGGGGGGGGGGCTCTTTGGTTCGGTACTTTCACCTGTCGTGCATGTCAACCAATCAGCATGTGGAACTCCTGAAGCTATGCCAGTCGATCGTGGAACACGGCCCGGACTTGTTCTCGCTGCACAACGCTACGATCGATGCTCCGTTCAGGTACGGGGCGAAAAAAAAGGGAGATGAGGGGGGGGAGGGGGCCGAGGGGAGAAAGTGAGAAAGAGAGGGAACGGTAGAGATGGTCTGTGAAG